CCCCCCCCCCCAAGACATACACAGGAGCCTTTGGTCCAATTAAAGAGATGTGAACCAGCTGCTTGTGGATTTTGGGTGGTGGACTTGATAAATTTTCCTGAGCTCTGGATTTGCAGAGCAGGTAATAAATAACCACTCTTCCCAGGGGGCAACAGGCAGCTAAGACCTCTGGCGAGGTAAAGCTGGCAAGAGCAAATTTGGCATGTTTTACTAATTTATTTAGAAAAATAAGACTCTGAACTCATTCATCCCAGAGCTGTGGGATGGCAGGAAGTAGACACCTGAGATGAGCTGAGGCTTTGAAGCACTGGTATCTGAGGGCAGAAGCCTCTGGGTCTAAAGGGGGCCTGCATACTACCCCCACCTCTTCAGTAGTCTTCAGCCATCACCAATAGTACCAGGCTGGTCCAGCCCTGGAAAGGACGGCAGCCCATGCCCCGCCCATCCCGGTCACTATACTGCTCCCAAAGGAAGCCTGTTGCCCGGTACTGCCGCCAGACAGTGCCCACAACATTGGCACGGAGCTCGCTGTAGAGCTTGACAGCCCGGGCCTGGTGTGGACCCTCCACATGCCCATAATGGTGGAGTGCCCCCAAGGCCAGGTAGTTAATATTGAGCCACACGGCGCCCCGCCAGTAAGGAGGATCGTGCTCTGAATTGCGCTTGCCGTAAAAGGAGCTGGAGGCAGCGAGGGAGCGCAAACCAAAGGGGCTCCAGAGATGGCGGCTGTCTGCTAGGATGTCCAGCAGGGGCCCGAGGCGGGCGGAGCTGGGGCTCAGCAGCCGCAGCAAAAACGGAAAAAGACTGACGTAGCCAAGGGCATCCACATGCTGCATTCGAGGGAGGGGTCGGCCCACTACCCGAACTAGCCCCTCAGGGGGACTAGGCTTCAGCTGTACTGCTTTTGTGTGGTTCCCAAAGTCTGCAAAGACTCCCAGCTCCGGGGCCCAGTGCAGCTCATCCAGGCTTGCCTCTGCCTCCAATGAGGTAGCCAAGGGGCTCAGGTTGGCAACTGCCTCTGCTTCCCCCAGCTGCTCTGCCAGCCGCAGCAGCACACGGGCACCCAGTGCCACCCAGCACCGAAGATCCAGGTGCCGCTCAGCAGTTGAAGGGTGTGAAGCTCTGGGGTAGTCATCCAGTCCTGAGGGCAGTGTCTTGGGGTTCAATAGGTTTGGCAGGGCTGGGTCCCGGCCCCGCCAACGATAAGAGAGCGGTACTGGCCCTATCTGACTCTGATGGAGCCAAGAGAACCAGGCATACAGGCGGGGGAAGGCCTTGCGGAAGAAGGCCAAGTCAGCAGGGTCACTGCCCTCTAACATGTGAGCCACAGGCAAAAGCAGGGTTGGGGGGTTGGCGTGCGCCGCCCGCTGCACCAAGAATTCAGGGGGCACCCGAGCTCGAGCCTCATCCCCCAGCACCTGCTCCCGTCCAATCCAGCCATCAGCATTGAGCAGCCCCAGCCAGTGACCGAGGGCCTCTCGGGAGAGACGGGGGTCCCAGCGCTGGACAACCAGCTGGTGGAAGCCCTCGTCCCAAAGGAAGCCCCGGGGGAAGAATGACCGGGAGGGCACGGCTGTGAAAAGAGGGACAGGTGGAAAGAGGGCTGGGTCTGCCTTCTGCTCAGAACCCTCAACCCCCATGTCTGGCAACACCAGCCCTTGTCCGTAGAAATAGCCAATTCCACCAAGCAGGCCACTCAGGGCAGCCTGGCCCAAAGCCTGTTCTTCTGGGCTCAGGCCTTTCTTCTTCAGCCGGAAAGTCTTCTCAAAGCGCTCTCGAAAGGTGTCAGCATGGTGCTCCAGCGCCTGTGTCAGCCGACTGCCTGCTAGCCTCTCCTGGGCTTGGCTGCTTCCTGCCTGGGCACTGCCTGATTCAAACACCAGCTCCACAGAGAAGGGGGCTTTCAGTGTCACCTGCTGTATCAAGAATTGCCCTTGCTCCTGGCCTTGCCCACTCGGGCCTCTGTCCTCCCACTTCAGAGACCCTGACAAACCGAGGTAGCGTTCAGGGGAAGCCCCTGGAGGCCGGTGCTGAAACCAGTTGTTCAGGCGGCTCTTCACCATCTCTGTCAGCAGAGGCAGTCCTGGGTTAGGAGACCAGAAGACATTGTAGCTAGAAGGGGAAAAAGGTAAATGGGAGACATTACCCAGGAGGTGGCAGCGGGGATTACATGGAGAAGCACCCCGGGGCCAGGCTGGGAGGGTCTCGGCTATGCAGGGGGTGGAGAGCCTGGCAGGGTGGGAAGGGGCAGTAACATAAACCAGCCTAGGTCTGGATCAGCACCATGCCACCTCCCCCACCACCCCGTGTAGTCCCCTCACTTACCTACTGTACTTGGGCGCACTATCCCTTGGACTGGTTGGTGGCAGCAGCGTAAGGCGGAAATCACCAAGTTCATCCGTATGTCCCCTGATGGACTTCAAGTGCCCCTTGGTCCCAACTTCGGGCACTAGGACTTCCTTACCATCTGTCACCACGTAGAAGAACAGAGAGACCAAAGGGAGGGCAGAGGTTCCTGAAGCCTGGGTGACCGGAGACAGATGTGGAGGGGTAGTATTAGATTGGCATTCTCTCCTGGCAATTTGCCTCAGGGCGGGAAGGGGATGGCAGACTGGAGTAGCAGAGAAACCTCAACTGTGGGCAGGGTTGAGGTTCACAGTGGGGTGGCATACAGGTTCTTCAGAAAAGTCATCCAGAACTTCTGCGGTGGGTACGATTCTGCAAACTCTAGATCATCTCATTGAATTCTTATGAGTTAGTTGCTATTGTTTCCATTTTACAGACCAGGGGCTCAAAGCTTAGAATTAATAAGTGGAGACGGGCACACAGGCAAGAGTTTAAATGGCATCAGGATTCAAGCCGGCGGGGGCAGTCAGCCTCAGAGCCCCTACGGTGAAACCCCACCTCACCCGTGAGGGAAGGGGCGGGGCCAGGGAGTGTGGGCTGAGGGAAAGGTGCCCTGGGGCCCTGACCTGAGGCTCTACAGTCACTCTCCAGCTCCAGTCCCCTCCATGCTGTCCCCCAGGCCTCTTGACGAACTCAGTGGTGAGCTTTAAGGCCCCATCTTGAATATGTTGCCGCCCGAAGGAGAGGCCGTCGTGAAAGTCCCAGCCATAGGGCCCCACGCCGTCTCCCTGCTCACACGTGTGCCTGAGCTTAGGGATCCCTGGGGTCGCACCCTGCTGCGCCCACATCAGTCCTAGGGGTAGAATAGCCACATAAGTCAAAGACAGAGGAGACGTGTCCCTCCGTCTCTGAGAACAGTAGGGGTCCCATCCCTCGCCATTACTCTTCTGGTCTACTCTTCGCCACCCTGGGTCAGGAGTGAGATTACAAAGCCCACCCGGCTGCCGCCCAGGGACCCGGTTACCGGTGAGAAGGGGCTGCGGGCTGCGAGTCTTCATGCCGAAGTAGACGTGCGGGCGGTAGGTTCCCCAGAAGAGGTCTGGGGCCACGGCGGGGCTGGAGGAGTTGGGGGCCAGCACCGGAGGGGCGGAGTGCAGCGTGACTGCCCGCCGGGCACGGTGCCACGCCAGCAGCCAGCGCCCTGACAGGCCCAGGACCAGCGACAAGATCACGACGGCCAGAGCCGCCCCTCCGGCCGCCCCGCGGGGCCCGCCGCCCCGTCTCTCCGAGCCGCTCCGAGCAGCCCTCTCGGCTGCCCGCGCTCCGTCTGCCGCTGCTCCGCGCCGCCGCCGCTCGCCCCGAGCCATTTTGGAACGAAGCTCAGCGTCGCAGAGCCCCGGTCCGGCCTCGACTGTCTCCCCAGCTCGCGCGCCACGCGCCGGCGACCCCCGCGGCCAGCAGCACCTGCAGCCCGCGCCTCCCGACCCACTTCCGCCCCAGCCGGAAGTCCCGCCCCGCCACGTCAAGTTAAGCACAGGCTCGGGGACTGCGGCTCCTGTGGCACGCCGACCGCGAGAGCCTCGTTCGCTTCGACCGGGGCCGCTGGGTCAGTGCTAATTCGGCCTCCTCGCTGAACCAGCACGTGGACCGAGAGGCAGCAGGCATCCAAGCTCACCTGTTTGTTGTACGATGACTGTGTAGGTATTGAAAACCCAGGACGCTATCCCAAGTGTTTTTACAGGAAACCGTGGCCGAGAAAGCTCAAGTCACTTGGCCTGGATTACAGAGCTGTAAGTAGTTCGCTTGAAACCAACCATATCTGAATCTTAGACCAGATCACACTGCCTACACTCACTACTTCCCTCCCTCACGGAATGGACAGCGCAGAATGATCTAAATGGAAGCCTCGAGTCTGATGACGGCGGTGCCTAAGCGAACCCTGGGCTTTCAAAACGCCTGTCTCCATCGGGTTTAGATTGCAGTATCTGTACACGAGGGGCTTGGGCTGGGAGATCCCCAACAAGCTACATTGATAGTGCGTGCACCTAGTGAGGCAAACGCCAAAGCGAAGAAGCCTCGTCCAGGTCCGGTTGTGGAAAGATGGCAGCATCGACGCATTTGACGGCACTTCCTAAATGGTATTTAGATCAGAACTACTCATTTCTCAACAAGAGCCATCACCAATGGTGTTTGCAGAACACCTTATTAAAGTCCCTCTTATTAAAAACACCCTATTCTGCATCTTTATGAATACACCCTCTAGCTGTCGTATCACCACACCGATCCAAATTTGTTTATCTAAAACTAGTACTTCATCTTGAATGCCTACTGCCTTATTTTATTAAAATCTGGCTCTGGTCACTCTCTCCATTAGTAAAGTTCTCGCTCATTCAACAACCACCTTCTGACCAAACCCAATGACTGGTGCGAAAACCTACTGCCATTAAGGTGATTCCAACTCAAAATGACCTTTTATAGAGGTGTCTAGTGTGGGAGCAGAAAGCCTCATCTTTCTTCCTTGGAGCAGCTGGTGGGTTTGAAACGCTGACTTTGTGGTTAGCAACCCAATACCCAGCCCACAATGCTACCAGGGCTTTTAATGGTTAGTTCACAAGTCTTGTATCCTTTTTGCACTCCCATTAGAATTGGTCTACATCTATTATAGCACTTAGTTACACACCTAAGTTCCACTACTCACCTTTGTGTCGCAGAACTAATCAGTTATAGGCATAAGATAGAGACTACATATCCATAAATACAACAAACGGTGCTGTGACAGATACTGCAAGGTGTTGGAAACACACAAGAACAAACCCCAACCTCAAGTTCACAATGTAGAAGCACAGTGCCAGCAATCTGTTTATAGGAATGAATGAACCAGTCCAAATTTTACAGATGAGGGAAGAGTTATTAAAGTAAATTGATCAGGAAACCTGGGAACTCAAATCCAGGTAGAGAGCATTTATCTCCACTATAGCATGGTGATTCTTAGGTAACAGTGCTTAATCCTGTTCCTAGCAACATAATAGCATGCAACAAGTATGGACTCATTTAAATCTCTCAGCAGTCTTACGAGGTGAAAAATGAGAGAACAGAAACCGAAAGATTAAGTAATTCTGAAGAAAATTGGTAAAAAGTCACATAGCTACTTAAGGGCAGAGCTGGAAATTCCAGCCCAGGCCTTCGTAGCTTGGTTCTTCATTACTACCATGTCTCCTGCTGTTTTATCCTTTTTTAAAGGGAGATGGATATGAAAACAATAGTAACTTATAATTTATCAAGGGTTCATAAGATGGGGGAGGAGCTGATACCAGGGCCTCAAGTAGAAAGAAAATGTTTTGAAAATGATGGCAACATATGTAAAAACATGCTTGATACAACTGATGTATGGATTGTCTTAAGAGCTGCAAGAGCCCCCAATAAAATGATTTATAAAAAAAGAAAGAAAGAGGGAGGGAAAGGGGAGTCTTTTAAAGATTTCAAAACAGAAACAAAAGGAGTTGCCTCCCGCTCCTGATGATCCCATATATACCTGGGCAGGACTGGGCTCCAGTGGGTTTTCAAGTAGCCGTTTTTTTCAGTAGATTGCCACACCTTTCTTCTGAATCACCAAACTTTCTATAAATAGCTGAACCTTTAAATGTTTGTCCCACCCAGGGACTCCTTTTCAAATAGAAAAGACAGCCCATTTTAAGTAGGGGAGCAATATAGTAATGATGTAGTCATTAGGCTCATAAATGTATTGGGAAAAATGTACAGCTGCCAACAGATATCATAGTGACTGTGCATTCTGAAGTTCTTAAACCAGTGGCTTTCTTCATGAAGAGATCACTGGAGATATGGGTGCTATAACAAGGTGTAGTGAAGAAACTAGATGGTACCCAGCTATCAGAAAGAATAGTTTCTGGTGTCTTAAAAGGCTGTCTTCAAACAGGCAGCCACCTACATGAGGCATCAGTTAAGTCCAACCAAGGACACCAGCCTGTGTGATCCAAGGATTGTAAATTATTACATCCAAATCTGAAGGCGGGGATGGTATCAGAGCTTAAATTGTGAACACCTGCTTTACAAGGCTTGGATAATAAGTGGAAACCCAAAATCCATTTGCAGGATTCACACATGAATTAAGCTTCTGGTGAATCCCCTATTAAGCTTCTGGTGAATCCCCTCTGACCACAGTCCTGGGTTGTCAATAGCCTTGTTAATCAGACAAGAGTATTGTAAAGTTGATTATGGCAGATGTAGTTAGATTATAATGTAATAACTTATGATTTGCTCTCCCTTTTTGACCCATTTTCTTTTTTTTAATAATTTCATTAGGGGCTCATACAACTCTTATCACAATCCATACATACATCAATTGTGTAAAGCACATTTGTACATTCATTGCCCTCGTCATTCTCAAAACATCCCCTCTCCACCCAAGCCCCTGGCATCAGCTCATTTTTTTCCCCCTCCCTCCCCGCTCCCCTCATGAACCCTTGATAATTTATAAATTATTTTGTCATATCTTGCACTGTCCAACGTCTCCCTTCACCCACTTTTCTGTTGTCCGTCCCCCAGGGAGGAGATCACATGTAGATCCTTGTAATCGGTTCACCCTTTCCAACCCACCCTCCCTCCCAGTATTGACACTCACACCACTGGTCCTGAAGGGATCATCTGCCCTGGATTCCCTGCATTTCCAGTACCTATCTGTACCAATGTACATCCTCTGGTCTAGCCAGTCTTGCAAGGTAGAATTGGGAACATGATAGAGGGGAGGGGAGGAAGCATTTAGGAACCAGAGGAAAGTTGTATTTTTCATCGTTGCTACATCACACCCTGACTGGCTTGTCTCCTCCCCAAGACCCTTCTGTAAGGGGATGTCCAGTGGCCTACAAATGGGCTTTGGGTCTCCACTCCGCACTACCCCCCTCATTCACTATAATATTTTTTTGTTCTGATGATGCCTGATACCTGATCCGACACCTCGTGGTCGCATAGGCTGGTGTGCTTCTTCCATGTGGGCTTTGTTGCTTCTGAGCTAGATGGCCGCTTGTTTACCTGTGACCCATTTTCAAGTTGTTTCCATTGCGGGGTGGGGGTGAGGGGTGGGGTGAAGAAGAAATACACGTGGATTAAGCTTCTGGTGCATCCCCTCTGATTACAGACCAGGGATGGGAGCAGTCTTGCTAACATGCAGAGTGCATTGGAGAGTGGATTATTGCAAATGCTTCCCTGCCATATAAACTACCAAATTCACTAACATGGAGTCCATGCTGACTCCGAGGGAACCCCTGTGGGTTTCGGAGACTGTAACTGTTTATGGGAGTAGAAAGCCCAATCTTTCTTCCGAGGAGCTGCTGGTGGTTTTGAACTGCCAACCATACAGATCACAGCCCAATGCATAACCACTAGACCACCAGGGCTCCATAGGAAACCCTATGGGGCCAGCCCTATATTCACACAGGATTACCATGAATGGGAATTGACTCGATGGCACTCAATAAGCAGATATGCCTATAAGCATACTGTAATATTATATATACATTTCTATATGCTTAAGATCAAAGTTTCCTAAAAGAATACTTCCCATACCACGCACTCAATCCTTTTGTTTTTATTTCAGGTTTCTTTTTTAAGGCTGATTTAATCCCCTAAATTGTTTTCATGTCCACTTAACAGTGATAGCTGAGCATAAAAAAGACTATTGAAGGGCTGCTTCTTGAAAGAGGCAGGAGTAGAGATAAAACCAGTGATGTGCTTTGGAAAGATAGAACGCAGCAGTAGCAAAGCGAGTCTAAGCGAGAGAGTGCCACAACGATCCAGAGAATGGAATGAGAAAGCATCTCAGGAGCGCTTGTTTAAACAGAGTATTTTTAATGCACAGAGTATTCTAATGCACTGACTAGTCAGGGAAAAGGAGAGAGCAGAAACAATGGAGTGGTTTCCAAGCCCGGTGGCTGAGCAGGTGAAGTGCTTGCAAATGGAATGGAGTTAGGAAAGAGACAAGTATGTGACAGAACTTGAAAAAGTTCATGGGCAAATTTCATTATGTTTTCATCCCCCTTTCCACAAACTTTTAAAAGTCCCCCCATACATGTAAGACAATCAAATCTCTTTGGGACAAGGCATACTGGTGGGATTGGGTGGGTGGGTGGGGAGGGGGGGGGACGAGGAGGGGAAGAATGGTGGCAGGTAACAGGCGTCATGAACCAACACAGAAATTGGAATGAGAGCCAACAAAGATGCAAGGGTTAATTCCAGAGAGTTCTAGTTATGAGAGGCCGCGGATCTCCAGGAAGACTACATACGGGCAAAACTAAAAGGAGAAAAGCATACACCTACTAGGAGGGAAACCTGCCCAGGTAACTGAAGATTAAA